TGTTTCCAGAGTTACAGAAGGTCACCAATTGATAGATGTCGTGTAAACAATGTCTACAGAACATGGTGCAGTCAGTATTTTAAACATCAAAAGGTGTAACTAAAGCACGCCAAGATAAATAACCAAATAACTTCTCCAACTTCATTATTTTTCCCGCTTAACTGATCAGTATATATCATCAAGTGGCTACAAGTCATTTTCAGTACGAAAGTCATTAGGAAAGTCAGATGCTAACTTAATCGAATTTCACGTCACGTACACCTCCTTAGCAAATAATCAACACATTTCACTGTCAGTAAACCTGCAGAAATGAAAAAGTAACGCACAAAAATGATTTTGGATACAAAGGTATTTTAAAGTTATGGAAAATAATGGTTTTTATATTACGATGCTTCATCAACATCCATTTATATAAGCTATTAATAAGCGGCTAAAAATACGCAACGTTCACTTCGATCGCACGCGAAGACTGCCGAGAAGGCTTCGTAAATACCTCAAAAACTGCTTAATCGTATTGATTATATTCCCGATCTAATAAAGACAAATGAAATGTACAATATTACATCTAATAAAATAGGAGAACGTTCTAGACCGGTAATTATGTTACTTTAGAATAAGCCCATACAACAAGGGTTTAGTCTCGCTGCTAATTGATTTCGCACCTGCTTAAGAAAGAACACTCTAAAAAATCTCATCCATAACTCTTCCTATTGGTTGCCATACATCTCCTTTTAAATTAGTCAGTGGAGAGAACTCTGGGTGGCTATATCAAGTCAACATCTTCTAGTAAATGAGCCTCATCGATTATGATGAGAGTAGGAAGTTTATTTTTACCCCCATCACAGTTTTGTCGGATAAACTTTATATTAATATAGTAGATGTTACCTTCCTCTCTGGGAGTGATAGGAAAAGTGAAGTCCTTAACAAATAATCCTGTCATACTCAAAGTTCACGAGACATTTGAACACCTCTGGTCAGTTTGATAATTTTTTTTTCTTTTTGGTCAAACAGGAACTGGCCTTACCTACCGAACTCCTAAAACTGCATAGATGGGTGTACGCACGTTTAGAAATATCTAGACGAACTAAAAGCACGGAAATGGGTTTGAAAAGTCTCACCTATTATTGGAATACCCCAAGGTCCCGGAGGCAAATTTGAAGCATTCTTTTGCCATATTGCTTTTCCAACAAGAAACGCACCAAACTGCAGAAGGCAGAGGAACACGACCTGACCAACTGATATCAGTTCTTCTAACATGAAGTTCATGGTAACTGCTCTTGATATTCGTAGTGTAACTTGTCCTCTTTCGTTGTTTACTAGTGCAATCGATAGCTCACGGACGAATTGCCTCAAGGAAGAGGGACTTTGGTGTAAACATGCAGAGAAATTGTTTACACCTCATTGAGTCTTTATGAATCTATATCGGCGATCATCACGCCATCAAGTGCTAACCTTGTGATCAAGAGTGTCTAAAGATGTGGATAAATTGAGACGGCACGGCCCCCTTTCAGAGTTTTTGGGTACCTTTGCAATCCTTCTGTTAATCGGTACAATTTTTTTTTAAAAAGCAATACGCGTCCTAAGACCATGATGGCTTAAAGTTTGGTTTCAATTATGGGTTTTCCAAGGTCAGGTTTGCACGGATCATTTGAAGTTTACGAAGACACCTCGAACCTTCTTAAAAGAGAAGGCCTTGATCAAATTCATACTTTTGTTACACAATTTCAGCAAAATGAAGACGATGTATAAGCAGAACTGACTTTCTAGTCCAGAATTGCTGCGTCTATTTGATATTTTTATCAGAGCAATATAAAAATCAATTTACATAGGCTATATTTATCAGCAATAAGAGTGGTTGATATTTTTGGAGTCTCATGTAGAGAAATTGACCTCTGCTCAGAATAGCATTGTTTGTGGTGAATAAGGACAGAGTTTATTCTCAATCCTTCATTCTTCATTCTTGTGGTTAAAACAAAGATAACGGCTGAATGACGTTCAAAATAATAATAATCTGGATTATGTTAGAATCGATATACCGTAAAGAGGAAATAGTTTTCTGACAGCCCACAACCAAAATCAGGAACCTCCTATATTCGAATAAAACTAGCTAAAATTTTCAATGGCCAGGCCTGATCGTTAGTTTTGTTTTAGCTGATGCTCTCTGAGCTCTTTCTGTTGCTAATAAGTGACAATAAAACAAAGAAGTGGATTAATTCGTTGGGAAATTTTCGATGAGGGCATTGCATACATATACAAGAATAATTGGAAATATTGACTTTTTTAAAGAAATGTTGTTAGTTCTACATGTGACAAACTAACGTTTTCGACAACCGTTCGAGTCAGCTTAGAATTAGTGTCCCACTGACTCTTGAGTCGGCTTACTTTCATTAAAAAAAGTTAATGAATCTATTGCGTGCTGTTTGGGAAATAACCATAATTAAGATGATGCACTCGGTAGGTTTCGTTCATGCTTCAATTGAAACTTAGAAAACAAACTAATTTAACAGTTTTATGGTTGCACGTAAAATAACGAAGTTAATTCGGTTTATCGTATGAACATCGTAAAAGGCCTGACCCAAGCCGACATGTGGGTCAAAACAGGTCTTTAGTTGCAACATTTATACTCAGCAGGTAACCCTTCTGTGTATAAAGTTCTAGAGAGTTTCATAAAATTGTCAGCATGAAAGAAAACGAAACGCCGCTCCCTTGTCGAGTAGCCCGCTAACATCATGAGAACGAACATAATGCAACTTAAGAGGAGAGACTTCTTTCCTACAGAAATCGTTATGAACACTTTCATGGAAGACCGCATCTCACATCCTACCAAACTTTTTAAGTCTCCATCCCAAACACATACAGAAGTCTTACTTAAGAACTCTAGATGTCTATTGGCCGGAATGATATATCTTCTAACTCAATCTTGGCACCTACTCCGTAAAATTTCATTAAAAAATTTCAGTTAAATGTCCAATCAAATTGTTGTGTTCTGTACCCCTTAGCCCAAATCGTAGACGCAACAGTGCAGGTATTACTTTCGAGTGCGAAATCAAAAACGCACGAACTTTTATCTTAGATTTCAAGAGAGGTCAACAGCGACTGAAACTATCTCAAGTTGGCTGCATTTTAATCTGTGCCATTGTAACGCGGGAGAGTTCGCGAGTTAAATTTGATAGTGGACCATCATTTTGGCTTTTGTGTGCGGAATAAATGCAGTAGCTGTTCATTGCTCAAAATATACGAAGAATATTGGAAAAGTGAAGAAGATGACACTTCAATTTGATGCCCATGAAAAAAGGTCAAGAGATGACATAGAAGAAACTTTGTATTTTGATGATGCATAATATATCAAACATACAGTTACAATGTATTCACTAGTTCTAGTGCACGTGTTCGCTTTTTTACACAAACTCCTGCATCCTGTCAGAATTTAAAACTTTTCATTCTGAAAGGAACATTTTAATTTCCAACGAATATAGATAATGTGTTTCAAGTCATACAAAGCATGTAGTATCATATTTAGCGTTTAAGGTAGTTACCGATCTGGCCTTTAGATGGAGTCTCATGATACTCGGTTGATTTCAATTTCACTGTTCTTTCGAAAATTCCTTTTTGAGTCTACGGCGCCTAAGACGTAGATTCCTTGTTATCGCGCCTGTGAGTCCGTCTGTGAACAATCCTATCATTCATAGTGGCCTTACTTAGGCACTTACTTGGTTACAGTAGCTCGTTTGGGAAAATGGCTGAAAGAAAACTTCTGAGTTGTTGTTAGTACTCAAAATTCACTCCTTACATCCTTCGCTCAATCACTCCTTCTTTTTACTTCTTCTTTCCTCTTTTTAACTAGGGCCGTAGCCAGACTTCAGAAGAAGACGAGGCAAGTTTCAAGCGTCGGAGGCGCGAGCCGCTAGGAGGGTATAGGGGTATTAGGGCATGCCCCCCCTCGTCTTGCCTCATGCTAGCTACGGCCCTCTTTAACTTTTGGGTAAGTCCGTTAGCGTATAAGGCTTTTGCATTATCACTTCAAATTCCTGCATGGGCCTTCACTGATAGCGAAGAATTGGTCAAAATTTTTAACATTCTGCTGAGCAACAGCATGTATTTAACCGAAAGCTAAGATCTCAGACCAGAAAATTTCACTTATGGACGGAAATTGATTTGTATTAAGACTGCATGCATAAGCTAGGGCTAACCCAAGGTTTAAAAAAATATAAGGTGCTTGGATACATATAGTTCTTTCTAGGACAACAACCCGTCTTTCATTTCGTTACATTTTAACAAAATATCAATGATGGAATATCAATGATGGAATCTGACTGTTGCTCAGAAAAAGCTGATGTTCCGAGTTAAAAGAGAAAAAACATGTTCTTTTGAAGACTACATCAGAAGCACAATCCATTGCACCAACTAAGAAAAATGAAATTGCGACTGATAATGTGCTTTCTGGGTGCGGACCAAAAGTTTCAAAATAAGAAGTAAATTCAGTGGCCTCCATATTTCACCCCTTCATAATCCATTTTCAGAGTTCAGTGGCCCACAGTTCGCATCATTTGTTTGTGAGTTCTTTTCTAAGGGTCGAGCTCAATTTCATTAAGGAAGTGGTAGTTTTGATTTTAGCTGCACAATCGTTACCTTTATCAGAACATTCATCTTCCTATTTACTTAGATGGCTAAGCTTAGTTATGGTGTTTTTTTCCGGTTTTAAGTAGCAGTTTTCGACAAACTGGTGACATGTCAAGGCCGCATCACTGGTATCATGAGTCACATCACCCTCGATGCTTCCAGCTGCATCGCCTTTAACTCTGCAAAATGAACCCTCTATGGGTTTGCCTTGTATTTAGAGGACCTTTTTAACTAAAAGCGACGCCTAAGAAAGTCCACTATTAGGGAAATGAGCCTTCTAAGAGGATATTAGAGCCTTTTAATAAGATATTTGAGACCCAGTGTAAAAACATAGAGCACCGTAGACTCTTGTACCCATTGGGTGCCAATTTTTCTTTTTTATCACTTCCTTGTCAATTGATACTTTGCGTTGCAATAATTATAATCAAAGTACTCCCCCAGTGAGCGTCTTCACGAATCATTTTCATAGCACACGATCACTACACCCGCAAAATGGTACACAAAATGTTTTATGGCCTGATACACGATGCAACGGTTCATAAGGTAGCGATTACCTTTAATTGATGACAAGCTATCTTCTCCATCGTTTATATCAACATTTTAGGTTCAAAGTAAAGTTTGGTTGGTTTGTAGAAATTTGCATTGCTCAAAGGCTATATTTACTTTGTTGTCACCTGTGCAAACATTTATTTCAGATATAATATACATATTTTACTCATGATGCCTTAAAATTACAACGTGTTGAATGATGGCTAGTCTGATATCAAAGGGAAAAAAACCTAACAAACAAAATAAGGAGTGTTAACCTGGAACAAAATGGAAAAGGAGCACATTGCCATTTTATCAACAAAAAGGACTTTAGCATATGCCTTCAAAACATTTTAAGAATGATTTCCTTCCAAGACGCGTAACATTATTATTTATATTTGTTTTGATCCTTGATTTGACGTGTTAAAATATAATATGGGATACTTAGTTGTCTCTCAGAGTGGAACACGTGTCACATGCAGCAAACTCGATACCATTACTATCATTTGTCACATCTTAGTAATTGCCATAATTATCTCCTACGTGATTAGAGCCATCTGAAGCCAACTAAGAACTGTGGCTCGAAAATGCTCATCGAAAAACTAATAACATATCTTGCGCTTGTAATATATTTAGTTGTTCCGTCTCGGTTGTGTGAGGGCGCTCTAAATTCAAAGAATGATATAACTGTGATTGAGCCTGTGAGAGGAGCCATGTGGATATCGGGACAACACTCTTACCCTATCACATGGACTCAGTCGAAATTCTGCTTCAAATGGAATATAGAACTGTTGGATATTGAAGAGAGAAAAGTCGCACAGATTTCAACTGGACTAAGCGAGTTTAAAGAGGGAAGCATGCGTCATGTTTGGCTTATTCCACCAACAATTCAAAACGGCGATTATGTGATCAAAATTTGTGAGAACAGCGCTCCTGAAAATTGTGGTAGGAGCAATTCATTCTTTATTAGGACCACTAAAGGTAAGAAACGTTAACGTGGATTTATAACAAAGTGTTTTCAGCAGCCGTTACCGTGTTTACCCAGCTGTAGTGTAGGTTGTATTTTGTAACTGTTGTCATTACGGCAAACAATTCTTCAGTGGCAGATTATTTTAACATAAGCTTCATTTCTTTGACTGTTTATAACTAAATAGTCATCTTTGTGAGGAGGATAAGGCCAGCTAGTTTTGAGATAACCTGGTGCAATTGATGGTCAAATAACAGGAAAATTTTATTAGTTTATTATCAATTCCGGAAAACACAAAATAGAACGGAAATTTACGTTCCCAACATAAGCTCACTTGTTGTATATAGTTTTTATTTTTCTACTGATATTGTTATTAATTCGCAGACGTCATTTTATGATGGGAAACTCTAAAATATATTTTTTTTCTACCAGCCTTTTCCGACCAATAAGAATAGATTTATTCGTCAGTTAAAAATTAGAAATTTAGCATAAACCTTCACCCTCAACTTACACCGTAGTCTGTCAAAAAAAAGCTTCAACATATCTAATGTTATTTTTGTCTTGTAATTTTACTGTTGACTATGTTTTCAAGAGAACAGTCAACGAAATAATTAAGTGATGTTGTAGTATTTTCCTCCTCAGTGAGAAAGTAACCGACATCTGAAACATTAACGATAAGGAAGCCGATGACAAACAGCGTTAATAATTTTGAGAGGTCATACAGTTACAGAGGATATCACACGGCCGCTTGGAGATACGAAGTTTCCCTTCTGGTGTTGTTTTTCGTGTTTTCTTTTTAATTATTATTATTATTATTATTATTATTATTATTATTATTATTATCATCATCATCATCATCATTAAGCAGTATTAGTATTGCTTACAATACTCACAGTACAACTTAAAGAAACATACTCTACTGAAAATACTTACTCTACATAGTACAGTACTACCTATACTACTTACGATTATATAGAATTCTAACATTACTTATAAAACTCACATAACTTACACGAGAGAAGACAGTTCGTATCTCCAAGCGGCCATGTAATATTCTATTTATCATTTATACACAAACGAAACTCTAAATTATTTCACTGTAATATTTTGTTAAAGTAGAACAACGTAATGATGATCTTTTCACGTGTGAAGATAACATGTTAGCTTCACGTGTGAAGATATCATGTTTTCGCGCGAAAGCTCACTTTGAATTTTCACTGGTTTTTATATATTAAAAAGGTATATTTTCCTATATACTAGAGATTGGACATGCCGAAGATACTGATTTTGACGCGTTTTCCCCGATACATACTCCTCAAATGAAAGAAACACTTACCTTTTCTGGTAACGCGACGAACAATGAGAGGTCCGCTGTCCAACGCAGGTTACCGCATGAGCTGCGCCGACAAAAGCGCACGGAGCGAGAACGGCTCCACTTTAAATACATGTCTGAGCGGATTAGACATGACGCAGATCAATTACAATGCGCAATCGAACGCGTCCATCGACCATCAAAAGAGACATTTGTGGAGCAGTATATGAAGCCTCGAAAGCCTGCCATTTTAACAGGAATGATGGATAACTGGGAAGCAATGAAATCCTGGAGTTTTGATAAACTCGGTGAGGACAACTGCAATTTAGCTGGCGAGTGCCAAAACACAACAAATATTTCTGCCGTTAGTTAGTACACGACTCTATAAGTATTATAGATGTTATCGTTCTGGTAATAATCGCTGCCAGGAAGCTGGAAAGATCTTTCCGTTGGAGCGAAGGACTACCGCTCGAAACGTCAAAACTCTTCACTTCGGCCAATTTACATTATCAACTCAGATGTCAAAACCAAGTTATCTTGTTACAGTCCCCCACCGATCCAGCACCGCAATTTTTTTAAGAAATTTCCCCCCTTTACTGAAAATGAATGAGAACAGCTGAACAACATAGAAGGGAAGGTACTAATAAATTAGATCTTGGGAGTCATAGGCCAAGTTATGCTCCACTGGTGTTAGAAATTCGCATCCACTGATTAAACTAGTCACAGTGATGTGGAAACACTTAATGACTTTCCTTGCAGGTAGTATCCTCACTAAAGGAGTGAAGGTTGACATCATAGAGAATACCACTCCCTATTCACAGTGGAACGAATTTCGTGCCCTGTTTGCTGACATGTACAAAGATCCAGCCCAAGTGATTATGACAGATTTCCATCAGATTTACCCTGAGCTTATGGATGCAATAAATTTTCCGAAATTTTCTAAAGACTATTTTGAGGTCAGTAGCCCGGTTTTGGACTAGAAGATTCTTATTCGAACTCAGATGCATGTTAAAAACCAATATATCTCCGAAAGAAAAATATTGGTCCAGTTATTTTCTTGATTTCTACTTTCTTATGTTTTGTCTCTTGGCTGGTTTTGTTTTGTTTTGTTTATATATGTGTGCGTTTGGGTGTTTTTGGTCTATAAGCTTTTTTGCGATCGTTTCTTTAATATTCCTGTTACTTTGTTTGTTTGTTAAATTCTTTGGGAGACATAAGCGGCAAGGTCCTTAAGATGAAAACCTTAATGACTGCCTGTAAATGGTGATTCAAATGAAGGTTCACATAATCGTATTCTCTCGAACCTATGTTAGCTGCAGGCCACTGGACGAAATATTTAATCTCGTCCTTTGTCAATGGCCATCTTAATACAAAGGTATTATTAACACTTGTATCTTTTGCGATCTAAATCATGAGCAGACAATGCTGTCCAGCCTTTTTTCTCTAGAAAAGAAAACTGATTTGGTCGTGGCATCCCCTTAATAGAGAATTCATTTATCTACCATTCTTTATTATCGAGATATCGCTTCATCTTTTTAAATTTTCAGGAAGTTGTAGACGAAGACATTCGTCCTCCCCAGCTTTCTTTTGAGATGGCTCCAACAAGATCTGGTTTTCACTGGCGCGTAGAGGCACTAAATGCCTCATTATGGAGTGCTCTAATACAAGGCAAAAAGCTTTGGGGTCTTTATCCACCATCAAAGTATTATGTACCAGGTGCTTTACATTTCTTTTTTTTTTTCGTTCAGTTGTCTTCTGTCTTCCTTTCGACTGCTTTGTATGGGGTGGTCAAATTCGTCTAAACGTTTCTTCCTAGTCCTGGTATAGGTTCTTTCCCTGTCTTAACCCTTTAATTCCCAAGAGTGACCAAGACAGAATTTCTCCTTACAATATCAATACAATATCAAGCAGACCAGTGATGAGAATAAAGAAAAATATCAATTAGGGGATTATAAGTTGATCTAATGCCAAATTATCCATACTATCATCACAAGAATTGTATGGTAGACAGTAAGGAGAATTACTAATGAGATCTTGGGAGTTAAAGGGTTAAATTTTGGACGGCGGCTTCAAAGCAGACTGTGGCCTTCTCCTACGGTCATTGACTTTCTAAGGTTATGAACATATATTTTCAAAAACTAAACTCTTTGTCTAGCCTTTAAAAGCATCAAAGTTGTAAGTTCTTAGCCATTTCACTTAACCCTTGAAATCCATTGATCTAACGATTTGAACTATAATTTTCCGGCGGTGTAATTGTTACACATTTCTCTGATGAGTGCGTGAAATGAATTTGATGTCAAATTCAAACACATACCCAGTTGACATGTGTATCCATTATTATCATCTTAATGTCGGATAATATTTTGATATAATCTGAAAATACCCTTAATCAGGTTACAAATGAGAACTGAATTAATCGTCCTTTAGGAGTAAATCACAATAATCATCGAACACAGAATTCTCAGCAGTCTGAGTCATTTACCTGGTGGATTTATACTAAACCTGAGTTACAAGATGAACACAAACCACAGGAATGTCTACAGGAGGCAGGGGAGATACTTTACATCCCCTCAGGCTGGTGGTGGAGCAATGTCAACGTAGACGACACAATTACCATGCAGGTAACATTCCCAGGACCAATGTCTGAAGTTCTGTTTTTTGGTTTTGTTTTGTTTCGTTTTTTTTTTTTTTACCTGAAGGAGAACTGTTTTCCAGAAACAATACTAGGTACAGCCTTACATAAATGATTAAAAAGTTTCTTTTAAATTCGCTTAAAATTCAACTAGCCAGTAACCTGGACTTATTTACATAACAGAATTCAACTCGAATAACAGGAACTCAAACGCGCAGTTCGTACAAATAAATATTTTTGTAATAAATGACAACGTAGTGAGCCATTTGCACTTTTTTATCTTCTCTACAGAAATCCTTTTGTGACGAAACAAACATCCGATCCTGTATGGACGAGTTGAAAGAATTAGGTGACAGTGTTGCTGACAACTTCCACGCTGATGTTTACATCCAGTTGCGTAACTACTTGGCAATTCATGACCCAGGGTTTCTCACAGATGACGACCGACAATTTAAGTCTCCTATAAGAGACCTTGGACAAACTAACAGTGATCACGGAGAGAATTTCCACCAAAATGTGTGGAAGGTTAGCCATTTTTCCTTGCTTTCGCATGCGCTTGAATCGATTAAAAGATTATTCTTATATCTAATGAAATTGTTCTAATCGCTTCATTTTCAGAAATACTTTGAGGAAGGGATTGATGATGCAAAATTCTCAAGCAATCGTGATGATGAGGCGAATGTATGATGGGTAAACTCACCAATGTGATTGCCTCTCTGGCTGTAAATCTCGTTCGTTTTCTCTCACAACACTTGAGGATTTGTATGAAATCTCGATGGAAGATTTACAAGGAATAATCCATGCTTAACACATAATTGACAAACCTCTTAGAAACTTCACGGAAGCCCCGCCTGGCAACCATTGCACACGCATAGTGGCATAACCTTTAGTGCAAACCCCACAAGTTGTTTATTTGCCATATTTCGCTGCAACTTTCGGAAATATCTGTACTCAAAAGATGCGTCGTATCCATGCATGTTTTATGTAGTACTGCATAGATTCTTGGAAGTTCGTGACATCGGAAATTGCTTTTCCACTCGTTTAATTTGGATTGATGCGCTAGCTATGAATAGACGCAAATCTGGTGAAGTGCAAATGCAATATGAGTATTGGGGTAACTGAAAGATAAATGTTATAGGATTTTTTTTCATAAAGTGTGAGTATTTGTGATTGTTTAATTTTGTATCTATTTCTTTCCCATAAAAAACTGTCTTCTCACCTGACTTCCCTAGTTCAGGTTCGTTTTTTGTTAGACTCTTTCCATTTCCTTAAGAAAGAAAAAGGTCTCAAAAGATATCAAGGCTGGAACTTGGAACTCGCAAAACTTGAAAATCTCAATTTATTGACTGTCATTAACGTATACAGTGTTTAAGCTGTATCTTCTTTGGGATATATTGGATATATTTTACACATAATGTTCCATTTATAACTCTTGTCAAAATTCACCCAGTATTCTACGCGACACTGAGTGTGATATTTTTCGCAGAAATATTAGTTCCCTACTACGAAAAAGATGCCTTTACGTATGCCGTCTATATAGCACACTCTTGATGACCGATACACACACGAATAACAGCTAGTTGAGATGTTTGAACAGCGTAAATACTGAATACAAAAGATGACGCGATAGATCTGTACAAATTAAGGTTAATATTCACTGATCAGAGCAATTCTTATAGGTCACTTAGAGATACGGCGCTTTCAGAAAAGCGGTCTGATGAGTGTGTTACTCGTTTCACCTAGATTTCCCTGTTCTTCTTCTGCTGGGGGGGGGGTTTCTTCTTGGAACCGTGTTTATTTATTTGAATGTGAACAATCGAATAACGAAGCGCGAGAAGAAGGTTTTCCCTGAGGGTGGTGAGTAATCAAACAGGTACCCAGAAAAGCAGCTTCTTGAGGGTTGTGGTGACCCCGCGAGGAATTAAATCAGTCTGCATCATAGAGAGGCGATGATAAATTCGCGAAACACGAATATTGCTGGCGTAGGTTCTTTAAGATTTGATTTTGATTGTGTTCACCGATGTTATCGAAGAGGGAGCACTTTTTGTGCATGATGACAGAGAAAAGTTCAAGGAAGATTTTGTAGGGAAAGCCTATGAGAAGAAGTCAAATGTATCCACATTCGCTTGCATTATATTGATTCTGGTGTCTCTAGCGTGAATGGCTTTATTTAAAATATTCAAGTTGGTTAATTTTTCATCAAATGATTCAAAATTTTTAACCATGACAAAGAAATTCCTTTGAAATTAGGAAGCAAGACTTGAATTCGTCTCGTTGCTTTTAAAAAATATTGAAGTTTTTCGCCGAGGTACAAGAGCTACCAATCGATTTTATACCCATTACCTACATATAAGGACTGACTGGGTGTGACACTCTTCGTCTGTACCTTTTAATCACATTTACTTGAAGTTTCCCCTCTTTTCCCAATTAACACATTTCAAGAGACATTAAGCAATCCCACATACACTCGCAGTGTCATGAAAGTTGGAGTGAAGCTTTGTAGCTTGACACGACAAGCACAACGCAATGACATAAATGGCCAGAAGGAAAATAGGTACCTCGCAGTTTCCTGAAAGCGACAAGGGAGGATACCTTGGAATTGATATGAAGATTTAAGATCTGGAACAACCGTAATCTTTATGTCACCCTCAGTTTTGCGGCGACAAGCGCGAAGAAAGGAGGGCCTTTCCTGATTCAAGTTCGTATAGCGCTTGGAAACTCAAAATCTACGTCTGATCTTTAGTCCTGGAATTGCCGTTAAAAATACTGTGAAGTGTCCACTTAATATTTTAACATTTTAGAGAAACAACTGATTTAATCTGGATCCTCAAAAGTGCCAAAAAATTTTATCAGAGCTCTCCTTACACCTTCTGTTCCATCATACTGAATGGAGAAGGGGGGGAGATAGCAAAATCAGAGTATCATACGCTGCTAGAAGTATGGGACTCCAAAACCAAAGACATTTGATGTGATCCTAGATCCAGACTACAGCCTTGCCTATTTAGACGAATGGATAGGCCCAATCATGTTTTAAATTCTAATTGTCAGTTGAGTTATCTTTTTTTTTCGAAATCAGGACGGTTTTAATATTTAAGGTATTAGTCTAGTTGGTTTTAGAATTAATATAGTCTTCTCAAATTTAGTGCTTTAATACAGCTTCGAATTGCGTAAAGATGATACATGATGTGTTGATTGTTATGATAGTCTGTTCTAGATATGCGGGATATAATACCGGAATGCTTCAAATTGGTGCGGTGTTCTTGTTACCAGACAAGTCTTTTTTTTAGCAGAACCTTGACACATTCATGAATGGCAAGTCACGATAACAGACAAAAATTTTCAAACTCAAGCTGCGCGAAGTCAAGGAGACTCAAAATAATTACGTTACACTTCCAAAAATCTATCGTTTAATGGATGCCTACATCCACTCCCCCTTCATTTGTTGCGATGATAAAAATCCTAATATAGGCTCCCCTCCCCGGCATAACAAGTTATTATGGCAACAGCAAAATCCTCTAAAATATATTCTTTAATTTGGCTTTATTTTTCCATCTCTCAAAAAAAAACTCTGTGTCCCCCATTTTATTGTGTTTTAAGCCACCCGACCTTTTTTTAACTTGAATCTCCTTTCAAGTCTTTGAGCTTTATTTATTCCCTCGGATCAAAACAATTTTAAAGTAAAACTTGATTAATGGTAAGGATGCGTCACTCAGGCGACCGACTATCCAAATATAGCGCACCTCGAGATGCATATGTGAGTGATTTAGACCCCGTCCACACGTTGCCGGGTATTTTCGAAAACGGAGATTTCTTTTTCCGTATTTAAAAAAATCTGCGTCCATACGTAGCGTTTTCGAATCGTATTTGACCGTCTACACGTATACGCGAATATGATTTAAAAACGCTAGACTTCACTCACAGAGCATGTTCATTATTAAACATCTGAGCCCGCGAAAGTCAAGTTTCCGCGCCATCTTTGTTTAATTTCACATCGTGTTGCTCACTCCCTCGACTTTGAAACTTTCATGTACTCTTCACCATGGCAAACTCCAGCAAAAAGACATCCAAATCTAAAGGCAAGGGAAAAGCAAAAGGAAAAACAGAGTCCTTTGTCTGGTCAGACGACGAGGTGGAGCTTTTACTCAAGGTTACTCAAGTGTACAAAGTCTCCCAAACAAGCGTCAAAACTGACTGGGAGTCATTCGAAAATTCTCGCTCCATTCTTCTTCTGTTACTATACCCGCTACAAAATTTTCCCACCATGCGCTAGTGCGCCCAGGACGCATCTAAAATCTTCGAGCTTTCGGCGGGCTTCGCCCGAGACGTTTCAAGTGCGTTCCTCTGAAGTTCTGCACCGATAAAAGCCTCAAAATATCTCGCCACCTTCTGAAGTATTCCGTATTATTTATTCGAGCGTACTTGAAAACCTCCGTTTTCGGTGTCCGTACATCTTGAATGTATATCTTGAATATAAATAACTCAGTTTTCTACTTTTTTCTATTTAAATCCTCCCCTCCCTCCTTATCCCTTCCCACCTTCGGCCTCCGACACCTAAAATTCATCTGGAAACAACGAAAACCTACAGCAACAACTTATTTCAATGAATTGGATCAATCAAGCTGGATTAATAATGAACACAAAAGATGACGCGACATTTACTCAAATTAGGCTTTATTGTACATATTTTCACGAGTAAAGACAAATGGTCGAAACAATTCCCATAAGTCAATGAGCGATATGGCGCTTTCAGGAAAGCGGTCTGATGACTGCGTTGCTCGTTTCACCTTGGTATCTCTGTTTTTCTTCTGCATCGTGGGGTTTCTTCTTGGAATCGTGTTTATCTATTTGAATATGAACGATCGAATTACGAGGCTCGAGCAAAAGGTTTTCCCTGAGGGCAGTGATTAATCGAACACATACCCACAACAGCAGCTTCTCGAGGGTCGTGTTGATCTCAAGGAGAAAGGAAATCAGTTTACATTACAGAAACGCGGTGAAAAACTCGTGAAACACGAATATTGCTAAGGTAAGATATTGTATTGCTTTAATGCACTTTTGATGTGAGTTCGGTTTTGTACCGAAGTGAGCGAAAAGCAAACAACTTCGGTGTACGACGACAGGGAACAGTTCAAGGATGTGTTTATAAAGAAAAGCAGGTAATTTAGTGTTAACAACTGGGTTGAAAACGTAAATTAGCCACCGTAAAGAGTAAAAAAGCTGACGTTTCGAGCGTTAGCCCTTCGTCAGAGCAATCGCTCTGACGAAGGGCTAACGCTCGAAACGTCAGCTTTTTTACTCTTTACGGTGGCTAATTTACGTTTTCAACCCAGTTGTTAACACTAAATTACCTGCTATACTCTCCCACCGACGCAGGACCACAGTTTCTTTAGAAACTTACCCCTTCATTCATTTATAAAGAAAAGCTGAGTTGGAGAATTCAAGCGGATCTTTTATGTGTAAATTCTGGTCTCTAGCCCGAATCGCTTTACCAAAACGTAATCAAATCAGTTATGTTTCAGGCATTTCATAAAATTATTCAAAATTAGATTTGAACGTTACCATTGCAAAGAAAATTCCTTTGAAACTAACAAACAAGGCTGACGTTTTTCGAGCTTTAGTCACGATCACACGATCGGCTAAATGCCTAAACTAAAATGTTTTAGTGAGCAATCGCTTTTCTTTTGTTGAAGCACACGAGCAAGCCATCGATTTTACACCCAATTGCAGTAGACTTTTAGTATAGCACTCTTAATTTTGTTCTTCAAATTGCCGAGTACAGTCGCATCGTCCATACAGCGCACCCTCTAATTAGCTAAAACAGTGTGTCATGACTTGAAATTAAATTTCCGATTTTTTTCTTCAGAATTTTTTCGCCACGACCCAAATCAAAACGTTCCCGATTGCATCAAAAGGGCCTCTGTTCTTCTGCGATTAATTACCAGTTAGGAATTTTATTGTGCATTTCATGAGAAGGCACGACATCTTCCATTTCTCTCGACATTTATTCTGTGTTTCATCTGCTCCTGGCTTGCTTTAAAACAAAAATGCCATTTGTAATGTATTTGTTAAATACATGTGCTTAAAGCTTCTTTTATTTTTCACAATTTAGACATTACAAGAGATGGCGAGCACTTCAAAACTTCGATATCTTTTTCTCATTACTCACGGTGTAATTAGAGTTGGACTGAAGGAAGAAGAAGCAGGATCAATTTTTACTAAAAAGTGTGTAATACTAAATGTCTCCGCTTTGAACCTTACCACGGCCAGTAAAACGCTTTGTAATGACATAACCAATGATGCTTTGAATCAGAACTGTAACAGATACCTAGCGATAGCGATTTTCTGAAAGCGACCTGAAGAGGATTACGAAGATTTAAACCTGTCGCGGGAGCGCACGTCATTTACGCGGCGTATCTAGGCGTGCAGACGATGGGAAAAGCTCTTCCGCATTTCGCGTTCTTGTCACGCTTGCCTCCAAACACTTGCAAAACGCAAAAACTACGTCTTGTCTGCAGGCTAAGAATTGTCGTTGTAAATACGGTGAATTGGTTAGTAAAGATTTCAAAGAAAGAAAAGATCTGGAGCAGTTCCGAGACCCGGCTGAATAGGGCCAAGTAACAAATTCGGAATGTGACGTGTAGCTGGATGTACAAGACTCAATGTAAGAGACAGTTTCACTTGATCGTTTTTGTATCAAAATCTTTAATCCAAATTACTGCTCCGCCTTTTTTTAATTCTTACGAGCTGCGGTTTGTGGTTATTCGAAATTCGGACACTTTTGCTTTCGAAGTACTAATTTAGTTGATTTTAAAAAATTCAAACTTTCGTGCTTCGATGAAACTTTTAATTAAAGATGACATAGATGTTGTATAATTTGGTATGATATGTCTTTGATGGAGTCCTGTTATTCCGAGGCTTCAGGAGTGTAGCAAAATAGTTTAAGAGAAACTCTGTTTTAGAAATGCGTTATGTTGGTGATCTGATGTGTTCTAAACATCAAACAAGTTTCTTTAGCAAAACACTAACATAACGACGCTGACAATTCTCAGTGAAAACCAATCAATTTAAGAATCTCTCCTCTGACACTACAGGTTATCATGGTAACGCCAAATTCTCCTGAAAGCGCCCTCGAATTTAACTTTATGTTTCCATAACTCAAAACCGAATACGGTGACCCCCACTTTTTGCTGTGTTACCAGCGAGCCAAGATTATTTCACCCAAATCTCTTCCTAAGTCGGTGGGTTTTGATTATTCCTGGGAGAAATGAAAAAATTTCAAATGTGAAACTTGAAAAAACGGTATGGATGCACTTCCCAGGCTGCCTAAGTTCCGATAAAGCGCGTTTGGAGATACAGGTGAAGGGTATAAATTACGGTCATTTGTGAACGTTTAAGGTCGAAATTATGCATATCCCGCTTATTTCCCCGAAATCTTTCGACGACAACAGGCACGATTGTGGCTAGCTTGATCTAGTGACTTACTCCGACTCCCTTCAACTTCACGAATGCTGTGTAACTGAGGAAGGAAGGAAGGAAGGCAGGCGACCAAATATAAAAAAAATTATTTCCAAAGGGATAGTCGTCATTGCTGCCGTGATAGCAGGAATAACAACCAAGGTTTGTAAATGAAAGAATCGAAGGAAAAATTCACATCGATAATTTTACAAGTTCAACTATTTTCAGAATGTGTTTACAACAGCTTGTCACGCAGTCACTGAATCTGTTTATATTGCTTTGTGACATGATCTCAAAAAAAGTCAATATTTGTATATTCGATGTATCTGCCCTTAGGGTAGCCCGTGACGAGTGCCAAGGTACGTTCGTCCCCAGAGTTTTCGCACGTAGCACCTGCCATGAAGATGGTTTCACGCTGAACAACTCTTGAACGAGGAAAGTTCGTTTTGATCTATGAAAGTGCTTAGATATTTCTTTTAGAGCCCTCCTCGCGCGCTCTACAATTTGATACTTTAGATAAACTTGTCACCCTACCAAAATTAAGTTTTCGACAGATTCTGGCCATCTTATTGTAATTGTAATGTAGCAGCAAACGCGAAAAAGTTCTCGCCCCTGACTCATGCAGTCTTGTTTGAATAATGCTTTAATAATTGTTATCAAAGATTTCACAGCTCACAGTTTTCTTATGAAGACGAAAGAGTTGATCTTTTCCTTACACGGAAACGAATTTTCTGAGCAACTGACGCAAAGATTCATACGTATCTACACCATAATGTTAATAACATCCGTGCTCGTGTTTGCAACGTGTTTCACCCTGCGTGAAATCGTCGCCACGGAAGAAACGCCTGAAAAAAAAGGATTAGAAGATGCTCCGGCGGCAGAAATCCTGCCTGAACGTCAGAAAAGGTCCCGCGAAAATATAACGAATGTCATCCCAAACCTGAATAATGTTCATCAACGACTGCAAGCTTTGGAGAAAAAGTAAGTCTGTTTCTCCACTGACATTTATCTTAAATTTAAGACAAACTAAATTTTTGGTTCATCAAAGTCCCGCGTAGAAAAAATTCAAAGTTAGAACAATTTGTGAGAGGTAGGTCGGAATAACGCGAGAAGCGCTTCCACACATCTACATACATATTACCTTGAATTAACTAGAACTCAAATCCTACCGCGCGAGCGATAAAAAGTAACTTCGGCCATTTTTTTTTCTATTTTGCTCTAAGATCATTTTGAAATTATTTGTGAAGTTATCTGCCGACAATATAGAATTAGATTATTTAGTTGATGTAGTTTGCCAAATTAATATGCTGTGTAATAGTTTTAATTTTCATAGTTTGCTATCATTACAGTATTGATTAAATTGACGTAGACTCAGTAGACAGATTAGTTTACGTAGTCATTACAGTTTGTGTAATTTCTGTATTTCACAGAAATAGTGCTTTGAGTAATCACAGAAGAATATCATTTTACTCACTAAAGTTTTCAGTGGTCACTTGAAGTTATTGCAATCAATGTTATTTGTGCAGTAAATGACACCTTAGCATTTCTTGAGTTTTCTTTGATAAGTTTTATTTGCTCTGGTTAATGCAGATTCTGAAGTATTTCAGTTAATATATGTAGTTACTGTAGTTTATGTAGATACTGTAGTTTATGTAGTTACCGTACTTTGTATAGTTACTGTAGTTTATGTTGTTACTGTAGTTTATGTAGTTACTGTAGTTTATGTAGTTACTGTAGTTTATGTAGTTACTGTAGTTTATTTAGTTACGGTAGTTTATTTAGTTACTGTAGTTAGTAGTCACTGTATTTTATGTAGTTACTGTAGTTTATGTAGTTACTGTAGTTTGTGTGGTTACTGTAGTTTATGTAGTTACTGTATTTTATGTAGTTACTGCACTTTGTGTAGTTACTGTAGTTAGTGTAGTTTGAGTAGTTGCTGTAGTTTGTGTAATTATTGTAGCTTGTGTAGTTACTGTGGTTTATGTAGTTACTGCAGTTTATGTAGTTACTGTAGTTTATGTAGTTACTACAGTTTGGTAGTAATTGCAGTTTAAGTAGTTACTGTATTTTGTGTAGTTACTGTGGTTTGTGTAGTTAATGTAGTTTGTGTAGTTACTGTAGTTTGTGTAGTTACTGTAGTTTGTGTAGTTACTGTGGTTTGTGCAGTTACTGTAGTATGTGTAGTTAGCGTAGTTTATGTAGTTACTGTAGTTTATGTAGTTACGGTAGTTTGTGTAGTTACTGCAGTTTATGTAGTTACTGTAGTCTGTATAGTTTCTGTAGTTTGTGTAGTTACTGTGGTTTATGTAGTTACTATAGTTTGGTAGTAATTGCAGTTTATGTAGTTACTGTATTTTGTGTAGTTACTATGGTTTATGTAGTTACTTTAGTTTGTGTAGTTACTGTAGTTTGTGTAGTTAGTGTGGTTTATGAAGTTACTATAGTTAGTGTAGTTATCGTAGTTTGTATAGTCATTTTGACTTGTGTAGTTACTATAGTTGAATTAGTTTCTGTAGTTTGTGTAGTCATTGTAGTTCGTATTGTCATTGTGGCTTGTGTAGTTACTGTAGTTGCTGTAGTTAATGTAGTTTGCTAGTTACTATATGATTGCCGTAGTCACTACCAATTACATACCCTCCAATCACTTAATCCTCACTATCTTTAATAATAATTATCTTTTATAATAATTATCGTTTTTTGATGAAATCAATCACCAGCTTATCTGCGTGCTACGGGATATTACCAAATTTGGTAGGATTATGTTTAGAAAGATTGTTTGTAAAAGCGGTTTTGTCAGTAATTTTCGTTGTTTTGATTACGCTCTGTTAGGCTGGAAACATTGCTAAGACCTAAATATGGGGACTCATGGTTCTCGAGCTACTTTTTGGGTTTGTATATTATTATTTTTTTTTCCATTCTAGGATAATTGTGTTGTTCTTTTAAATTATCGCTTCAAGTACTTTCTCTCATGTTTTCAGGAGGGAATGGTCGGAATAACGGACGAGGCATTGTTGGACCCCCAGGACCCCCGGGGAAAGATGGTAAGCCGGGAAAAGCACTAGTGAAAGGAAAAGAATATGTACGAGTCACCATGTGCTTCAGTGTTATTCCTATCTCAGTATAAACAAACATTTCCTCCCCCTCTGCCTTTGGCTTCCTTGACTTAAAATTCATCTGAAAAAAAAAACGACTACAGCAACTTGTTTAAGTAAACTAAATCGGTTCGATTAATTGAATTGAGCTGAATGTGGAGAGGGAGTGATATATGGATGTCATTTTATGGTTAAGGATGCTAACACAATTTTGCGTTGACATTTATGGCGGTCATTTTAGCTCAGTTCAGCTTTAAGTCATATTGACATAAAGATACAGCACTGTCACTTAGTTACGTCAAACAAATTTCCCGGAAGGTAACCTTTCCTTCAGGTGTTTATTGCAAGAAAAAATAGGCAAAAACAACATCTTCTCCCTATTGTCACTTAACACAGCATTTTTAATCACGTATAACTTCACCATTAACAAATGTGAGGCAGTAAAGATAAAATTGACCACTAAACCTGACCCAATTAACTCTGCAGGAGCAGTTGGAAAACCTGGAAAACCCGGCAAGTCTGGGATAAAGTATGTTCGTTGGGGAAGAACGACGTGTCCCAGTGGTGCTCAGATTGTTTACAAAGGTAACAGTCAGTGATAAGGAGAGCTGCTTGTCAGTGTCCAAAGGAATAATGGAAGAAAGATTAAACTTCCCATTTGTTATTACCTTTGCGATTTAAGGTAGCAGACAGCTCAAATAAATCATTATTTCACTGACCGCAACGATGGAAAATGTTGATGAGTAAAATGACATTTAAAGAATCGTTCTTCTCGCTTATATACGTCGGGTAACATACCAAAAATTATTTTTATTTTTAATAAAGCCAGACTTTTAATATTGTTTATCATCAATTGTCTCCCTAGGATTGATTGGTGGTGGATATTACCTTAACCAAGGTGGTGGAGTGGACTATCTCTGTCTTCCAAGCAGTCCAAAGTATGACAAGTACAAAGACGGAGGGCAGAACTCGGGATACATGTATGGTGCTGATTATCAAATATCCACTTTCAACCCTTTTAAGAAAAACCTCGATGACCATCATGCACCGTGCGTGGTATGTTTTGTCAAGTCTCGTGCCTCAATGCTCATGATGCCCGCAAGAAATGATTGTCCATCTGGCTGGACCGAGGAGTATCATGGGTACTTGATGACTGCATACCGGAGCCACAAGAAGCAACACAACTTCATATGTGTTGACGTGGACGCGGAGTCTTACTCAGGTTCTAAGGCAAAGAAACATGGTGCATTACTGTACTTCGTGGAAGGCGTTTGTAACTCACTCCCGTGTCGTCCATATGTAGATGGACGAGAGTTGACCTGCGCT